CGGCCGAGATGGCCCTGGGGACGAGGTTGAAATCTTGGAGGTTTTGATCACGTGATTCCAGCCAACGCCAGGGTCATCTCCCCGACGACCGCCATCTTGAAACGGAGTCGGCCGAGTTGGCTGCAGAGTCATTATACATTAGTAGTAAGACTATCTGACATGCGTAGTGAGCCATGTATCTATATAAACAAGAGCTGTCAATCAGCTAATCGCAGAATATTTAGTATGCTATAGTTCAGCTGTTGTTGTGTAGGAAAAAAAGCAAGTCCCATATCGACCGTCATTTTGACTTTATCATGTCAGAGTTTTCATTAATTTTGATTTTTTCCAATTTAACATGGCGAATCGAGACACGTGATGTGGGATATCAACTGATCGAGATTTATAAATTCTTGGACTTAATCGATGACAATAACAAAAAATTCTAATATACACATCTACAGAAAATGTTTTGTATCGAAAATTCAACTCCTGATTCACATGAAAATATTTTTAATATTTTTAATATTTTAATATTTTTGGTATGCTTCTTCGTAAGTTTGCAGTTATCTTTTATTCTTTAGAAGACTTATCTATTGTTTGTTAAGTTTCAGCTATTTTTTTACTTTGTTAATTTAGTTTTACACAACTATTTATTTAGAAACAGCGACGCAGCTCACATTATTTTACCGCTAGTTTCCATCATTTTATCTATTGTTTGTCTATTGTTTGTCTATTGTTTGTCTATTGTTTGTCTATTGTTTGTCTATTGTTTGTCTATTGTTTTATCAACCTGTCATGAGATTCGTTCCGATTGGTGCTGAATCCTTAAGTTGACAGATTACCCATAATGCTTTTTTCTTGGCGAAAACAACTTGTTTCATTGCTGCAGCTTTCGTTAAATGGCGTTAAAAAACGATGGTGCAGTATATCCTCTGCCAAAATAACCGCCGCTCATTGGCACAATTATTCAATTAGTTTTTTCAATCCAAGACAAAAATATATTTAACAATTTGTGCACGRTTCTGGTTTGTATATCCTCGCTGCACTCGTGACTACATGCAACGAAAAAACCGTGCAAGTTGATTTTACAACATTTTCAGTCTAAAATTAGCGAAAATCATTCATTTTTTTCTTCAACTTGGCTTGACTTGATGCTATCAGTATGTATGTCCTCTTGTTAAAACACTTATCAACCAATCAGCGCGAAAGAATTCAAATAAGTGAGTTCAAATAAAGGAAAAACCTCAAAATTAAACGTACTTAAAAGCTCTGCATCAGTAGGTTCCATAGAGAATCCATAGAGGTATGATTTTTAAAATTGCAGAAAATTTACTTTGTCTTATATAGTTTCATGCTTTCAGACATACATTTTTCTATTAAGAGTTTCCGTTTTGAAAAAACGCGGATTTTTATTGGAACCTTCTAGGATTTTACAAAGCTTTTAAAGTGAAGTGTATTCTGTAGCATTGCAGGGATCATTTTGCATCAACCTCAAAAGAGGTTATGCTAATAAGCAGCGGCCATTTTGGCAAAGGCTACATTTATCCTCTTGATAAACAAGACATTGAATGCACAGGGAAAATATTTGCAATAAAATATTGGTGTGCTTTATCTGGCGTCGCTTATCTTATCACAGGCAGCCCAGCCGTTTAACAGAGTTCTGCAGTGTATTCAGTCTAATCGATACTCATACAGGTTGTTCAGTCAATTATCCTCAATCTCTGTTTCAGCTGGATCCACCCAAAACAGCAATACACTTTTAAGGTCATTAAAGTTCAAAAATCGTAGAATTTCACTGACATTCACGTAGATTGTATTATGTAGATCAAAATGAATTGAATTGTTTAAAGTAAGTACGCATAAAGTAAACAAATTGACTTGAAAGTGTCTTGAGGTAAGTAAGGTCATCGATTTGATCGTGAGGGCGTAACATAGTAGCAAGGTCATAGGTGTTGATACTAGAAATATTGGTCGAGTGCAACTACTAGCTTAGAAACACAGKCAATCAGTSTAGAAATAGGCAATTTGCGATAGTTCAGTTCTAGAATGTTTCGTGCTACTAAATGTTAAAACGAAAAATCATAAAATCTGAAAGTGATTTCATTTCTTCAAAATGACAAATCTGCTTGAATTAATTCGGTCAAGTGATGTAAGCAGCTCATGAAAAATTTGCAGAGGAAAAAAAATCAAATAATTTCATTAGGAAATCGCAACTATTAKGGAAGAGTCGGTAGATTCTTCAATATATCGTTTGCAGCCAAGCGATTTATCTTAAGTTTTATCTGTACGGTTTATTGAAAGATCAAAAAGTTAGCAAAGCATGACAACAGCTGGTCAAAGAACCTCTTTAATTGACCACAAACACACAAACAACCTGTTGTTTTATCAATCCCTGGACTGTGATTGGCTGAACCGGTGTCAAGGGTCACCACATTACGTCATTCTATCTTAATCTTGGTGTCCGAGTCCAAACACAGGTAATTACACGTCAGCCCGACATTCCCTTGGCGCAGGCGCATTACAGTAAGATTTTAGGAAGTGTTCTAGAAGACGTTTCTCTAGGCAGCATTTGAATCGTCTTTTCTCATAGTAGGATTTGGGGCAGGCGTATCGTTTGTCGTCACCAAGCAGGTTTGTACATTTTAAATTACAACAAATCCAGAGTTCGGTTGAATGGATGGCGTGGTTAGATCACTCGTAGGATTGGACATTTTGTAAACTCCGACTGAGATTGCAAAAATGAACTGATGCTCACAGCTGTTGGACTGCACTCCACACTTGGAAAGCTTTGAAACCAACTGGCATAACATCAAAGATTTTTACAACCAATATAATCAGAAACGTTCTCAACTACTATCTCAGAGTCAGGGGAACTTGTCATAAGGGAACTTACAGTGGACAAGCGCTTGGCAAGAAATTATACAGAACTGCTTAGTGATTTCAATACATCCATCAACCAGCTCTGGACTTGACTTTACAAATTAGCTTAAGGTAGTTTCCAARGTTATTGAGATTTAGCAATGGTAATTTTGGTAAGTACATGTTGTTTTGATCTAGCGCATGGTTGTTTTTGAATCTTAACACTAGCAATCTATATAAGACCGTTGTTATAGCAAAGTGTACATCAACTAATAGTTGGAAAAGTCATGTTTCACAAAACAATGTATATTATCCTTTATTCCAAAGTCTAATTTTTCATATGCGCTGTCTGACAATCTTGCTAACATCTATTTCGGCCAAATTACACAATGCTGTCGAAYGCATTAGGTCATAGACAGAAACACGAACTACTATCAATAACAGTCAAACTATCCTCAGTATCTCAGCTTAAACTTCAGGAAATTCTAGCACAATGCAATAAATTGGCCGATGTCATTAATTTTGAGCGAAGAGTCTCTCGGCTCTTAWAATGTAACGATCATTAGACATCGATTGACAGGGAGAGGGGTTTATTGATTCTTACGTCATGTGCCTTGTAACGTTCCTTTTTCATCGTCTATTTCCAATAACATGTTGTGAAATCTAGTATTTATAGGCGTTTTTTACTATTCCAACTCTCTGTTCCATTCTGGTTATATTACCGTTTTACAATTGTTTTACCGACAGCTGTCATCGACAAACACTCATATAGCATTCCTTGATACATTTCATATAATTAAAATTACTTTGTTAATATAAGATAGTGTAAGTAGGTAAGATTCCGAAGTGTATTGCATGAATCTTTTTGCTGTCTCAATTTTAACGCAATCTCAAAACCCATTGAAATGAATCAAAGATCAAGKATCATGAAGGCAAGCGTTTTGATATGTTTTGCGCTGTCTATTTGAAGCACATCAGTAGTAATCGTTTAGGTTTCTAGTGAAATGTTATTTGTTACATGTGATTGAGGTCATTGTCATGTTCGCGCCATTTTTAACCAGTGGTTGATGGGATTTATTGAAGTGCGGTGTGGCATAGTCACAATGATTAGAAATCACTGGACCAAATGGCCATTCTAGATAATGATCCCAGTAGATTTTTTTTAACCTTTTTTTCTTCAATCTTCTAAGATTATTGRTATTTTTGGGCTGTATTGACGGTGAATGTTTTGTTTCTATCATAAACATAAACACATTTTCTTTGGTTTTCTTGAGATTTGTCTTTGGAAAACAAAACTTGATTTTCACAACTGGAAGACAAATCTTTGCCCTGATTGGTCAATTTCTCCTCAAACAAAAACAACCAATAAGCACCTGCTGTTTGATGGGGTYTTAACCAATCAGAGTGTGGCTTTACCAGTCCTTGACACACTACGTTATCCCTACATACTTAAGCCATGACAGAAAGTCTATTAACTTTTAATAGTCAGCTTGTCTAATATATAAACAATTTGGCTGGTGGCCGACAATCACGGTAGAATGGGATTTTTAGGATCTACTTGTCAATGAAGTATCCTGAAAGCTTTCGCTTTCTTTTCAGGTCATGAGGATTGTCTGCCCGGGATTATCGCTTTTCATAGGCCTTGTGCTTTTTCATTATTCGGTAAGTACATCATGGAGAATCMATTTTCTGTTCTTTTTTTTATGGTTTATCATGGATGAATACTTCTTGKTTGCGGGATCAAGCTATCACTCAGTCATTATATTATTTTTTGTTCATAGTTGCGACTAAGATTTTATTCTTTGATTTAGTTTGCTAGTTATAGTAGGCGATGGGGAAGTGTTATATTTTGTTGAATTTATTGTAAAGATTTYCACAGCCAATTCATAAACTGGAACCGATTCACTGATTGCAGTGTTTGTGGGCTCACAGGCCATTAAGCGCACACTCAAACTCGATAGAGCGAGAACTTTTTGAAGAGACACTAACGGTTTTACGGGTAGATGACACCAAAAACAATAGAATCCTGATCGCAACGATGACTTCAGTCGACAATAGATCTACACTTGATCTTTGTTCCATATTTGGTMAATGCAACCTGCAGTTCACCAAACATTGATTCGATGAAGTTAGCACGACCAGCCTGTTAATCATTTAAGAACACACGTTCCAATTCATCTTATTTTCGTCAAAAAGAGAAACAGTTTTCCTGGATTTAATTTCATCATCAAGTCAAAATATCGTTATTGAAGCAGAGGGGATTCAAAAGCTTCAAATCGTGCGATCATCGACAGATGATTTGCCATTCGAGGCGATCTTCAGGTTTAGAACGATCGGCCATTAAGGGCCAKAARTAGCTTATCATTTAGTAGAAGATTGTTATTTGACGTGCCTTGGCTTCAAATGTTCTTGGCGAGATTTTCTACATTGTTTGTAATAATACATTACACGGTAAATCTAGAATCATTGATGTTCCAGTAACGCTCAGAAGTTGAAAATTTGCCATGTGGAGTCGATGATGAACTTACTTCAGTTCAGTTTATTTGATTTGTTTTTAATTATTTTGTGTGTACTGGATGTACTTAGCATCAGATCTCTTATTAGTCTAGTRTATACTGTTAGTTGATATTATCGAGTTCTAAGAGGAAACATTTTCTAGTTATTCTTTGCGTGAATTGAAGAGATGATATGTTACTGAATACTAAAAACGTAAATCAACTSAACGTATCTCATCGTAGCTAAATAAACACYGTCAATYGTAGACTTTTAAGTTTTAGTTTATACTTCGGGTGTTCTGAGGGAACAAAGAAGCCCTYGATATGCATGACTGAGTTCGAAATATTTTTGATCAAGTCAAGCGAMTGTATTATTTTGSCTTTGGTGGTGTTATTATTTTTAAATTGGTATTTGTTTTGCTTACAGGCCTCCTTACCAGTGTCGCCAGTTCCTCCTCTGCTGAATAAGCTTCTAAAAGATCAGAATGTCACACTGGGTTTCATCTTGAAGGGTCTTCAGGGACCCCCCGGTGCCGCCGGTATGAACGGTATGTCGGGTGCTCCTGGTCCAATGGGTCCYATGGGACCTAAAGGAAATGATGGTCTACCTGGTATGCCTGGTGCAATAGGTTTTCCAGGTAACCCTGGTTTACAGGGTCCACCTGGTGCAGACGGTTTTCCAGGTGCTCCTGGTATGCCCGGTCCTGCTGGTATGCCCGGTGGCAGCGGTATGCCTGGTCCACCAGGTCCTCCTGGTCTAGCTGGTCAACCTGGTCCACCCGGTCCAACTCCAATCAGATATGTGAGTAATTGTCAATTGGATGAATTCATGGATAATGTACTTATCGTTACTTTTATATTTACAGAATGGAACAGTAAAATGTGAAGAAGATACCGCATGGCTCCGATGTAACGAATACAAACACATAAGCATTATCTCTGCTTTCTGGGGAAGACGAAATTTTGGCCTTTGCAAAGAGCACAGCGGTTCTCTAATGACAAACAAATACTGTCCAACGACTCAATTATTCTTGACGAAAGTAAAAGACGCCTGTGAAGGCACGACGATGTGCGAACTTAGATGCACCAAATTCTTCTTCAACGACCAATCGTGTATTGATACATACAAATATTTGGAGGTATATTACAAGTGTATCGAGGTTATCAACGGACACGAGGTGGTCAACGAAGACAACTTACTCAACGCTAACTTCTTGGGTTAGATAAAAAAAACTTTGAATACTTACTGGGTTTTTACTGTTCCATTTTAATTTGGCTGGAATCAACAACATGTGGAGTGTACTGCATATAAAGGGACTTCCCTCACATCAAGCAAATACATTCTAATAAGTTTCGAAAGAAAAGAAATAAGATGGCACTTTTGCCCAATGTAAAATACCAACAATTCTGTATAGCTAGATAGATTGTTCCTATTCGTTCTAATGTATTTATCGAATCAATACCTTAGAAGTATACAATCCATTTGAATCGGAGAGATGATAAAATATACCTCTGTATAGGGCCCTTGATGGAAGGTTGTCGTATTGTAAAATTAGCGTTAAATTGCTGACCGTATATCTGTTGTATCAATGAAGGTGATTAGCCGCTTTGGGAGGATGAATTAAACGAGTATTAGATTCTGTATTATACAGAGAAAATTTGTTATAATGTAGCCCTCCGTTGTATATGTAAATAAACCGGTTAATTAATGACATGGTATGACCGAAGCCACGCCAGTCACGTGGTATTCTTGTAATTCCTCAATTGTACTCGACATGGCTTTGTAGAAGTGCGTACTGCGCATGCGACGTTGTTCTATTTTTATTTGTTTAAGTCTCGTTATACGGGATGTGAAACTAAATAAACTGTTCACAAAATTGTCTGGTTCTGCGTATTTCATTAGCATACTAGCCCTGATTTCCTAGAAATGCCAAACCGCAGCATGATCAATTCAAATTTGAACATGGCAGAAACTCAAAACAATGATTTGAAGCCCGCAAAGGAGCCTTGGAATACCTTTCTAGCAGTTTTTGTAATTGACGACTTTGAGGGGATGTTTCATAAACAAATGAAAAAAATTGTAGAAAAACAGAACAGTTTCGCTTCACTCGTGATTCTAAGCTTGCAAACGAACTTGTTCCATTGGTAATCAAGCTTTTTTTAGTGAAAGACCATCATTATCTCTGGCAAAGACAGCTTTTCCGAATTTGAGAAACACTTATTTTCGACAAGACACAGTCAACAAATTTTAAAACTATTACAAATAAATACATGTAAAGTTGGCATCCATTCCGAATTGTATAACTTTAATACAACAGCTAGCCTGTCCTATGACAAAGTAATCGGTATGATTGTGGTTTCGCACTGGATGTCAACTGTCACGTGCATTTCTTGATCAGTGATTAGTGGTGAGGTGTTTTCCACGACATGTATATTATATCGGATGGCGTCTATGACTTTGGCCTATTTTCAAAACCAGCTTCAATCTATTGCTGTGCATCCAATCAGGTTTACATCGATATGTATCGTCGGTAAGTAACCTTTTGGTTCTTTTCGAAGACGTTAAACCAGTTTATGTATCGAGCGGATTTCGTATGAGTGGGACACCGTTACCGCACGGCTACCGCACAGTTACCGGACCTGGCCTTCACAATTTTGGTGAACCAGTGGGGCACTAGAATTTTGGTTTCGGTACGATTACGGTTACAGTACAGTACCGTCCGTTTCCCACTCATACGAAATCCGCTCTAATAATTACTGACACACACACACTGGGATACCAGTTTTTACTGTAATATCTTCCGTCAATGAAAAAATATCGGCAACTTGATTTAGAAATCCGGCAACAATTCATAATGTCAARTAATAATTGTTACATCAAAACAACAACATCTACTGACTCCTCATTGCTATCAACCTTTTTTCTTTATTCCTCGTCGAACACAGGCGGGAGATATAAAATATGAAAAAAATAGCTGAAACAAAAGCAAATCCTAATAGAACCACAGCAAAAAAGAAAAAGACAAGCAAACGAAAATATCTAAATCACTTTAAAAAAGAGTTTTAAACACGGAGAATCWAAAGAAATCAGATCAACAAGAATAAGATGAGTATCAAAATTTTATTCAGAATTCATCTCCAATTTCGCTGACTTGTTTGAACATCTACGTACATGACAAGTAATAATAAACAGTTGTACAAAAAGAATAAATTTTAACATCGTTAAAATATAGGTGACTAACAACTTACTGACGTTTCGGACGTTAATCCTTCGTTGGAGAACGTCAGTTAGTTGTTTCACCYACTTTTAACGGTGTTAAAATTCATCTTTTTGCACAATTGTTTCTTTAGAAACACCGATGCTAGTAGCCTACAAGTTATACTAAAAGCAGGTACTAAAGCAAAAGAAACGTATCAGCGGCTATCATTCCAAAGAGCGTTTTGCATGCTGGAGACTTTAATAGCCGACCATTAACTACTGAAGTCACGGCTATTTCCCAAGCAGTTTCCAGAGATTCGATACTCCAGGTTGCCATGAACACCACTGAACCAAATTGCCTCATTCAATTTAGTCAACGAGACTAGACATGAAATTGCATGTGAGGTTGAAAGTCGGTTTATAAGATTTTCTATTAAAATTTGCTTGGTTTTATAGATATATGTATCGTTTTAAATGTCTAAAAAAGTGACTAATCACTATGTCATTCTTTTCAGTGGTGGCGCGATTTTGTAGCTGACAGAATTAACATGGTCGCCATATTGAAACTGCTTAAAAACGCTTATTTTGTCTTCTCTTCTAATTAACTTATTCARTGGCTCAAGATTCTAAAAATACAACGTAAATAAACATCATCGTTTTCCTGGTTGGAAGATAACATCGATGCATCATGTAACGGAATTCAAATGCCATATTGGATACTGTGCTATAATATGGACGATGTAGTGTTCAACAATCAACACAAATCGATTGTAGCTTGAAGGGAATCGATTGCTTGTTGATTGTGTCCATTGTAAATGAACGATCAACACATCACGCTTTTCTTTTGCAAACAAATTGCTGGTGGTCAAGTCAGTTRACTGGTATTTGACACAAACAATATATATACACAGAATCGCATGTACGCTTATCGTATTAACATATGATAATATAATACTAGGAAATCACGTTTAAATCAAATACAATTACAGAAAWTCTGACGATGAATTCAAGGCGGTTTTTATACTAAATCACGAAGCTTTTTCTTCGATTGCGATCTTACATTGAYCAGTGAAAGCAGCTATCCCAAGGAGCATGCGCTGTAGCCCGAAATGAACGCTTCCCTGACAGGTCGGGYAAAAGGCTTGAAACATGACGTAATGACATATTGAATCACATTACCTAACACTGAGAGATTGCCGCCAATATTGACCTTTCCTRAGCGGCGTTTTGGAAATCAACGTTTTGGGAAAAATCCTGGTATATTTTTTACCAGCTTCTCTCTAAGGTAAGTTCATCTATTATAAGTAGGTTCCTTGCTCTATTACTGTGTGTAAAAAATATTTTTATCTGGAAAATTGACGATCAAAACAGACTAGATAAACTTGATGAAACTTGAGTATCAGGACGGATAGGTGATTGTGGATACATCCAGTAAAAACCTTGCATTCAATTGTTTTCAATGTATTAATGCTAAAAATGGTTGAATTACAGATGTTTTCGCAATGTCACAAACAGTGTTTTTAGCTTGGTAAATTTTTAGTGTCATATTTTACGCAAACATGAAATCAGTATCTGATAAATAGTCCTTGCTTTTTACACTAATATTTTCCAATATTTTGTGGYGATTTTGCATTTCAAGCAAGTATAAAGCCAGTTTTATTCCTGGTAAATATTATCCTGCAAATCTGATCAGTCAGCGGTTATCAGTTTCCAATCGTTGCTATATTTATAGCATTCTAAGCTAATTCATCTCTCTCRCATTTTATGCATAGAAAATAACAATGCAAAATGTCTTCTTTTCAAATCCAAATAACTTTTCCTTCTACAGAAGCTCAGTGCTTACAACATCTTTCTTGGTCTTACCGGAAGTCCYAGTCTGTTGTTGACATTTTCTTCCGGTAATGTTTGTAAACAGGTCATAAGGTTTAAATAAACCAATCACGACGCGCTTGCGATCTTATTGTGTTTCCTGTCAGATTCTTAATGTTATATTTTATTACACAAGGAAGTTCTGTCTTGCAATATAAAAAAGCTKTTATATTCCAATGAGGTTATGAACGCAGACTGGTAAAGGATACTGCCTAATCTGCCTGTAGACATCAGACATCGTTGATCAGAACATTTAGCAAGGAAGCTACTACGTTCTGGTTGCGTTACTGTGCAGGGGAGGGGAAGGGCTATATGGATGTTAGGTGATTCCAGTAAGTCGATTACTGGTGGCTCAAGTCACATCGCATCATTAAACACATAATAAAAAATATTTACAGATCACASAAACAATCGACTTTTTCAATAAAACGCAAAATATTATAAATAGAATAACACTGAAATATCAATCTAGCCAAATATAAATGATGAGTTATTTCAATTAGTAGATTGTCATCGAGCAGCTTTTCACTTGATTTCTTCATTTATGACGATGTCGTCAGATTTCCTAATTTCATCAAAATATCAGCAAAATATTTGTAACGAGAAACGAAACTACTAAATATAGATCACCAATCGCTGATTTGTGTGGATTTATTAGCTGTGTAGATATTTCTACTTCTACAACAAGCAACAATAATTACCAAAGGCATTGCAATTGAAGGTATTTTCAATGAAGAGCCGCTTAAAATCTTAACGATTGACTGACTGAATGGAATAGCGATATTGATAAGTCTATTACAAATCTACAATATAGATCAAGACAATTTGTATTCTTCCATTGTTGAAAACAAATCCAAAGTTATCTAAATTTGACCATCCATCCATCATGTGAAAGCCAACGGAGTTATTTAGTGTGACATTTGATGATTGAGCTTCCTTTATTGTCGGCAATTTCTTTTTTCATGGAATATACCTTGAGATTATATAAGAATATAGCATTGTGATGTTGTCTGACAGTAAATAAAAGTAAACTTCCATGATCAAATCAAACCCTGTGGTCGCACCTATAGTGTTTGCTGGTTAATTGAGCGTGTTATTTCTTGTTCACAGGTCATGAAGCTTACAAGATTAGCCCTGTGGATGACCATAGGACTCTGCCTTGCTGTACTAGCAGTATGTATACAAACCGAATGGAAATCTGTCATATATCTTTGTTTATCGCCTTGTAATAGACGTTTTGTATGAAATGGTCACATGTTACAAAATGCGCCATATTGGATGGCAAAAAATGCATGCAAGCCCATCATCAAGCTTGACTTTTCTGTGTTTTGAACACACCGGCCAGTGGGTATTTTGCCATCCAGCATCGCGGACTTACAGCAGTACCATGTGACCGTTTCATTCAAAAGGACTGTATTTATTGTAAATTGCTGTAAGGCCATTTATATACATATTACTTTTCGCAAAGCGAACACAGTCGTCATACTTGTTTCCAGCTTTATTAAGTCTAAAATCGTTTGTTTGTCCAATATCTTGGCCGTAGGTCTATAAGACCTTTTGTGGTTATTTTGTGGGACACTGCCTGCAGCGGTACATCTGTATGTTTTCACCATAGTATCTGTTGTCGCTCTCTGTTCASTGAGACCGACACCATTACCATAATATAATGCGATATTATAATATTCTTTGGAAACATTAGAATTCATCAGGGAAGGTCGCAGCATGAAAAGGTATATCACTTTTACTGTGGAMCAAGCARACGGCCATAGTCAGACAGCTAGACAAGTGCACGCTTCCCTAGTACTKGTATTGGTTGAAAACAMAATAAAACACTYAAAAAAGTATCCAAGAAATCGTCAAACCAATTATACCAAAATCTATTTGAAACAGCTATCCACCTAGAGAGTATATCCAAATGGAATATAATTGAAGTATTCAAGCATTCATAAAATATGCCTCGACTAAAAAATAGCAAATTTTAATAAGCACTACTTGAATATTTCAAAATTGTCGTGAATTTTCACTAGMATGCATGCACTCATGAAATCTTGTCGAAAAAATCATTCTATAATGAGCTGTCACTTATGATATACAAAATATCCCTCGAAAGCAGGATTGTGACATTCATTTGTTTYATTTTACGTAGCATTGTTTACCCAGTTCATCCAGGAGAATCAAGAAACGAGGATTATCGCAGAGTGAAGCCAGCTGGTATCTAAACGAACAAGTTCCTTTAGGTTTTTACATCAACGGTGGATCAAATGGAGCKCCTGGACCACCAGGACCACCAGGGCCCCCTGGAAGACCCTACTTTGACGAAGGTGGAAGCGGCAGTGGAAGTGGTCAACTAGTTGCTCGTGGAACCATTCCTGGAAGACCCGGACCACCAGGACCCCCTGGACCACCTGGACAAACAATGGAAAATGCCGATAAACTGGTAATCACACGCAAACTTTAAAAGGGATTTTCATTTCGAAGGAAAATAAGATGAGTGAACTTTTCTTCTATAGCAGTTAAATCAGAGGAAGGTTATCAAAACTAGGCTTGATAAAGGAATTTTCACTAGAAATTTTTTTTTAACAATTTACTTGAAATATTCTACAATGTAAAAAAATGGATGAATATACTTAAGTTTATTGTGAAAGAACATAATATTCTTCCTATTTTAGTTTTAATTTATTTTCTTTTGTTGCTCAGGGTCATCGCGACTCAATCTCATGTCAAGGTGAGAAAGAATGGATCGAGTGTCCACAGTATCGAGTGATCAAGGTCCATGATGCATTCTGGGGACGCGATGACGATAGAACGTGCACACGTAATGGCGTCCAACATGGTTTAAGCACARCTGCTATGTGCCCTCAAGATGATCAGAATACAATGAGAAAAGTCAAAGCTCAATGTGAAGATGAGAATGCTTGTGAAGTTGTTGCCAGCCCAGTTTTCTTCGACAGGACCGATTGTACTAAAACATACAAGTTTTTACGACTGAAGTACGAATGCTTGCCGAGCGAGTCACGAGTTAAAAGTAAATAAGGCCACTAAGACCCGACTGATAGACAATATTAGCAATTCGTTTTAAATATCTTATTACGACTAGGCCCATTGGCTACTACTTATTAAACACGACCTTCGCTGGAACACGATACACAATCACTCGGCAAGAAATAACGAGACTAATAAAATCTGTATTATATAATACCAAATGAAGAGGGAAANNNNATTTTAGTAGAGGTGTTTCCGTTTATATCTGTACATACCCTGTAAGTACGTTGTAGATTTAATATTGATTTACCTATAGAAATTGAATGTACTTTTATATTTAATAAAATGACCACACAAAATAGTTTAGTGTATTTGATGATTAGACGTGTCAAGTGCAAATAGATTAGGCAAGTAGATTCAGAATCATGATCTTGATTTATCCATTGTCTGATCAAATGTTAAGCTCTCTATACCCAAACACTTTTCTGGAGTTTTATTCTCAYATCACCATGGCAACTAAAGAATTAAAAGTGGCGACTGATCAAGCAGGTTATAAGCCTCCCATGTATTATAAGTCATCACGGACATTCTTGGCTGCCTCCCATGTATCGTAAGGCATCACGAACATTCATGGTTTAATGTGTTAGATGGAAAGAATCTCTCAAGAACTCGCCTGTAAAGGCGTCAAAGAACAATCATCCGCTATGGCACATTGTGGGGAGCGATCAGTGGGTCAGAGCACTTGTCTTCACTAACTCTGTCTGTCACTGCTGTGGTCCTGGTTCGATTCCTAGTCCCATTCTAAATGTATTTTATAGTCGGATATTTCTTTTATTTTTTTTAGAAACTTATCCCTGCACAATGCATTGACAATCATGCAGCGACGTAAAAGTTTCAAAGTCTATTAAGGTAGTRTTTGTGAAACTCACCAGTTAGAAAAGGACGCTTTTTTTGGCAGTGAGAGAACAAGTAAGGAGTCAAGATAAAGTCGTTCTCATTTAAAATCACATTAGGCAATGCGGTGCGCGGTCAAGTGAAGTGCGAATTGCGGGTTTTATCTTTGCATATTTATATAGCACCRCATCATAAAAACGCACAGGCTCACGGCTAATTTGTCGAATTTATATGCACGCCTGGTCACAAATCTAGGGCTTATCCAGGATTCGTCGTTGGGGTTCCTTTGCTTATCTGATAAAGCCATGTATAAACGAATTTCCGCACACTGTAACAGTAAAATTTATTTATTTTTTTCCAGATTTTTTCAATGAATTTGAAAGAAGAAGAGAAGGTGGGAGAGGGGAAAGTGGRTGGGAAAGGGGCAGCCTGTGACTCCTTTCTAAACTAGACTCTACACTGTAGAGTGAACCGTCCCAGGCCATGACATGTACTAGCTTGTGTTGTACCCGTTGCTACGTTCTCTCGACTAAAAGAGGTGTCGATCTCTGGATTTGAGATCTCCTCGTCTTGAAAACATAACACATCATTAATCTAAACACCCCGGCGAGTTTTGAGTGTTAGATTTTCGCCGCAGTCCTCCATTTTTCTCCAAGAAACGTTCCACAATCTGATATAAATGACCGACTTCTGTTTGCTCCGCTTGGCTATTTCGCTATGCGAGCATTTATTACAACAGAGGAAGTCTAGGGCGAGACGTCGGAGTCATGAGGAGCTCGAGTCATTGTTGCCAGCCAATCAGATCAGATTTTGTTATTCATTGTWTATTTTTATAGCATGGAGACGAGGCTCGTTGAAAATCGTCGGCCGTTCGGCCAAAACTTGACAAGAAAAAAATAACAAGAAGAAAGTTGCATGCTGTATTTTAAAACCGTCCCGGCCAAGGGCCTGGAAAGGTAACAAGCCTCAGATTAGTATGAAAATTCAGTAATTAGAAAAATTTTCAAAAGTGCGTGCGGGAAATAATGATAGCCAGAAGACAGCGAGTATAGCCCATATACGGTCATTACTTAACCAGCAGGTGCTATGACCCTGCAGGTAGAGAATTATGATGGTGTCATTTACTTTTGAGATGATTTCATCAGATTAAATAGTTTTGACCGTCAAGCAAACATCACAAGACGACTTTTTTCATAAGGTAAGTTTTTTAAACGAATTCTGTCAAGCAGCATTTTTGGGTGCCTGAGTTTCGGATTTGCGCAGGCTAAACTTTTGGCCTGTCTTTGCTTGTGGACGGATCATCAGTTCATGAGTTTTTCCGCTTCAGTTGCAACGCTTGGCTGAAAAAGAGAACGTTAGAGTCTAAACAAAGCCATAGTTCAAAACCAACCTACTCTGTGTTTTTCTCTATAGTCTGAAGTTTTCTCGACCTAACGCTGAAATACAGAACGTGATTGCAGGCGCCTAAACATAGATACACGTTACTAAGCGATGAATCATTGCTATTCTCCTTGCTTCCCTGGTCAAGTTATTTTCTCCATTACTGACATTTCCCAAGACATTTCCAGTTTTATTCTGTGTTGTTGGACTTGTTCCATCTTGTCCTTACTTACAGGAATTAWACATCATCATTTCTAATAGAAACCGGCTAAAGATAGTTTATGCCGATATTATAGAGTGTTCGAGCCACAAAGCAAATATTGACAATGACAAAATAACACAAAATATCACAAATTAGCAAACAGAAAACGAAGTATTTAGTTGTAATAATGGATARTAATGTTCCTACAACATCCAATCAATTACGTGTAAGCTTTTAATTCTTTTAGTTNAACTCTGGCCTAATCCATATTTTGTGCGCTTTTCATTGGTCGATAGAATTTCCTCATTACGAATGCGGACGTCTCCGGAAGTAAAATTTGACCAATCATAGTTGCGAAAAACAGCGCCAAAATTCGGGCTAGCCCCACTAAAGATGTTGCAAAACTGTAAACAAAAATTAATTGTAAAGTGTAGCAATGTCTTCTCCGAAAGAAAGCGGCGACGCAGCAAGTTTATAATACTTGTAGACTTTGCAATAAAGTTTTAGATCGCTACAAAGTAGATTTGTTTGGAAACAAGTCGAAGAGAGGAGGGCGTTTTAACGTCTTTGCAAGATATATGCTCAGTAGATAACATACATGAAGACGACGGTTTCTCTGGATATTTATGTAGACTGTGCGCCACAAATCTCGTTAGTATTAGCGAAAAAATTCAAATGGTTTTCAAAGCTAAATTTGGCATTCCTATAGCCGATAGACCGTGGTCTAGCGGACTATAAAACAAATTTTCCGCCACTTTTCTTTTTGACACGCATGCGCAATTTAACCGGAACACCAGAAAATCTGATGAAAAATATGGATTAGGCCAGAGTTCGTGGTTGCTCGCGCCCTCAGGCCAAGAGGAACGCGGTCTCTGGAACGAGATTGCTTTGATTACGCAAAAATGGCGGACGATGCTCATGCGCACTTTCATTCCTACAGCATTATTGCTAGTTTTTGTACATGTACAGCCGAACATGTGATTTACCGTATTGCGCATGCTCAAAGAAGTAACATGACGAAACATATCCATCGCCCTTGTCCTTTTTACTGCACAATCAYGTGCTTGTCGAAAGACAGTGTCTCTAGAATAAACGAACATTTCTTTCTCTCTGATGGGTTCATAAAATAAACACCCTTGCCACTGAAATTGAAAATATTATCGAGAAAAACACTCAAATCCTTTTGCATTTCACTACCTCACTTTTTTAAAAGTTTTAATTTTAAAAAATTCTTCCTGCCATTTATTTAGTCTGGGCATTTGAACATAGTGAAGCAACGAACTGTTGCTATGATTATCGCTAACTGTCACCGTCTGATTCTACAATCTTATCGTAATATAGATATCAAAATAGCTTTGAAGCCAAAATATACTTATCATTTGAAGTCTAAGAAATCCCAGGACAGGGGGATAGGGGCGCTGGATACGAGATTGACAATGGCAGTGTTTCTGCGATTAATATCTTACTAATGCTAAATTTTATAATTGGTCTTTGTAGATTTTATATTATGAGAGCCCATATATGGATAGTTGGTGTCGTTGGACTGTGTTTACAATTGTGTTTAGCTGTGTTGGTGGTAAGTCTCGCAAACTCTYGCACTGCTAACGTCAAGGGTTTCTAGAACATGTTATAAAAGTGAGTGAGTTTGTGCAAAAAACTATGAAAAATGGCGTGGCTATCGTAACGCCATATATTATGAGTTGAAAATGGCATTACTAGTCTGCTAGTCGTTGGAAGAACATATTATATTGAGTTAGATCTGAATTTTTTTTATTGTTCATACATTTAAGGACCAGAGAAATGTCAGGTGTTTGAAATTGGAAGCGTGAAAGTCAGTATTGAGGACTTATCAGCCTCGTTTTCACGTTTTTCGCACGTTTCAAATGCTGGTAGCTCTGCCGATATTCAACATTAGAAAATAAAACTCTTCCAGTTTACTAGTTTAGATATACTGTTTCTAATAGTTTAAACATATTTTTAAATATCTGGATCGTTAAAGGTGCTCATTCCCAGTCTTCTGCTCGTTTTTCATATGGCCAAAGCCAAAAAAACCCGGAAATATAACCAAAACCAACGACAATTCCCTAAAAATATCATTATCGCGTSATCCTGACTGGCAGCTATAAGGAAGTTGCGGTCATGCAACACTCCGTCTCACCACATTTGATACATTGTTAGTATTGTTTGTCTGTCTTTTCAGGGATGTGCGCCAAAGCTTAGAAGTAGCCACGTGATCAAAGCAAGGAGCTCGATGATTAGTTATTACACTAAYAAGAATCTTCCTGTTGCTGTTCTTATCAATGGTGAAGGAAGCTACAAAGACCATGCTCGGAAAGTTCGCCAAGCTCTGGAAAGCGGAAGTGGAAGTGGAAGCGGAAGTGCAAGTGGTGTAGCGATGAAGTAATTGATACACAGGAAGCCCAAGATAAATGTCTAGATACACATGTATGTTATTTCATTTAGCTTTGTAAAAAGTCATTTGATTTCATTGAAATGGCAGAAATAAAGAGATTGGGATAAATGAAAATAACAGCCAGGATTAATGGTCATGAAGA